TGGAGAACAAAACGTGTAATTACAAAAAATGACGAAGTAAAATTAACTGAGGAACATAGTTAAAAAAAATAGTTATCAATAAATATCATATATTTGAATATGTAGGTATTCAATTTGTCATAAAGGGCAAAAATAGATAACTAGGTGTGAAATTGTATAGCAATAGGTACATGCTAAAAATAAAACAAAGCTCGTCCAAAATAACCTGCGTTTTTAGCAGAAACTTACAAACAATATTATCTTCCATGGTTTATGGTATTTCCCTCTGGGTTTAGGTAAAGAAGGACCTCTATCAGATGCCATAAAGAAAAGCAACGACATAAAAGTGTTTCCATAGGTGTGCTATCTTGATTGATATCTTCCAGGGTCAACATGACAAATTAGTTCGGTCTCTAACTGATGGAGAATAAGGCATTCAGAAACTGCTAATGCTTATCTGGAACACAGAGAAGGAAAATAGTATTTTCTGCAGTTTTTACGATGTAAGTTCTTTTTTTTCTGGGCCATCATGCCATTCTTCCTTGTGAAATAGTTTCAACTGCCCTGAGTACTCGAGAAGAAACGAGAACTTAGATTTATTTATCTAGAAAGAATTCGTCAGCCACTCAGTTTACTTTCTGCAAGTTTTTCTTGATTTTAAAGTAGATGGCTGTTGTACTGTTATTTTATTTATGGTCCTAGAATCACAGCACAAGCGCGAAGTTTGTATATCGAATGTTCAATATTACATCAAATAATCTATCTCATATGGTAACTACGGCGTCATTAAAGTGCGTCGAATAATGATAATTACTAATTATTATATCGGAATAAACGAATATGTCTAGGAATTACTGTACAACGAACTGATTGCGCAATTGTTCATCTTTGATTTACAGATTGAACTATTTTTGAAGTTATTAGGGCTGATGCTAAATGACATTCCAGTATTCCTTTTACACGTTTCGATAGTAGGCTAGTCTTTGTTCTAGTTTCTAGGATAAAGTTAATTTGAATTTAAATTGCTATCTAGTTCGACGTGAGAGTAATTAATGTGGAGGGTAGAGAGTTGGTCAAAACCTTGTTATTGAAAGCAGTCAGCAGCAAAATCGCCACGTTGGATTTAATCTGAAAAGGCTTGCTATCAATCGCATTGTTTGGTTCAGCATATGAACTTTTGAATCTTCTAGCAATACGATTGAACATTTGATCACAAGCATAAAAAAGTTACACCTTTACATCCAAGTGCGCTTTTGTTGTATATTTCTTTAATAAAGTTGAGTCAGACACTACACAATTACCTAATAACGTTAAGAAATTCATCGACTGAATATTGCTGTTGAACACGGTGGTGAATATCGCCGTATCCCCGGAACAATTTTCAACATTTAATTGATTGAGAATTAGAAATCAAGTGGCTTCTTACAATATGTATATCTTTTTTCGGGCATAGGTACTCACGATAGGAATCTGCATTTATGCTAACTTTGCGAAATTTGGCTCTGAGATTCCGCTTAGGTAAAAACAGAATAATTTTGTCGCGTATTCCTTCCATGGATATTGCAGGGCCACGTAAAATAACAATTTCTTGCGACCCCAGAAAGGCCACTGGAACTCCAAACTAAAAATTCATGGCTCGAGCAATAAAAAGTTTCCCTAAGTTTTTCCATTTTGTCGCATAACTTTGATGAATTAGGGGATCGCAAGCTGGCAAGTTTACGGTGGTTGTTTATTTCACGGAATCGTCCTTTAACGACACGAACGATTCGGTCGATACCAGAATTCCTCCATTTTGTGGATTGACCTATCCCATCTCATAATGTTAATAATGAAACAAAGCACTTCCAAAAGCTACAGGTTATTTAGCAGAAAAATGCAAAAGTTAATATTGGAAAGGCAAACTTCAACTACTATCATTCCTTCGAGCAGTATTGAAACAGGTATATGTATAACTACAAAAGAACCTATCACTAGCTCTATAGCAGGACATACTAGTACAGTATCATCTTCTTCGACGACTTGAAATATGTGTTGCAACCCTGTATCTCCAACAACTGAAACTTCACCTCCGACTACTAAGTAGCAGTTTCCCAAGCAGTACTCAAATTTGTGATTTGTGATCTGACTATCCGAATTACGGTTCTTCAATGACTGGGGCTGTCCCTTGATTTTTGCTATTTTGCAACCAGAGAAGATTCAAGAGTGGTTTCGATTGCGTTCAATCCTGCTGAATATCTGACTTACATTAAAATTAAAAACGAAGAAAACAACTGCGACAAGGGTAAATAATGAACAACTTTGACGATAAAGGAACCAAAATAAGCTTCCAGCTCCTATGGAATGGAAAATGGTCTGTTGGATATTTCCTCCGTTATTGATCAGCGCTGGTCAATGCTCAAACAAACACATTATGAAGAGCTAAATGGTCAAAGGTATATTTTTGGTGTTTCAGATTTTACAATTTTATCACAGGTCAGCTAAAGCTACGTTTACACAAGAATCAGAATCTTCAATTAATATCTCATTTAAGAGTCGTTCTGACGCACCCATAGTACTTCTACGTCTGATCCAATCTCTAATCCAAACTCGTTTTTTCCTATTTTTCTTGCGTACTAGCTTAATTATTAAATTATTGGCAATTTCACTCTCAACTTTATCAGCAGCACGCACTACCCTACTTGGAGCCATTTTATTTTTCACTGTTTGGCAAATAAACTAGAAAATATGTAAACACGAAACAATGCACAAGTTTAGTGACGGCAAGTACTTTCCGCAATAAAAGACTAAAGACTAAAGACAATTTTCACTAATTTCACAATTTTAACAATAATAATATTATATTTCATTTATTAAGGATTTTCCGGTAATAAAATACAATGGATGATTTGACCAGACATATTTTATTGACAAAATATAGAACACCGATCATTTCCTCATCGTCACTATATTGAAAAAAACGACCAGGCACGGAGTGTTAACACAGGAATGTTGATAAGGTGTTTTCGTTCGGGCTTAATGGCCGTCGTAAGCTGGAATTTCTTCCTGACGTTTCGCTAGCACTCGTGGCTAGCATCTTCACAGGTGCTTCCATGTCCGATTGTGGTAGCAGACTGACGCGTTTCCGACCGTAAGTTGTATTTATGTGTGACTGGCTGTGGTGGAGGAGGGGCGAGGCTTCGCGGCACGTGGCTATTCTCATCTTTCTTTGTACTCAATGGGATCTTTCTTGCGTTTTTGAGGATCGGGATCCAGATTTGGTTAAGTTTTAGTGTTTGTTCTTTCCTGTTGAAGTTCCCCGTATGTTTGTGGATTTCTATCGCTTCACTTACGATTGTGCTATCCGGGAAGTCGGTGCAAGAAGCTTGACCTCACCAAAAAGTATTTCACGATTCCCTTCACTAAGCGCATGTTCCGCAACTGCCAATTTTTCCGATTGTCCTAGTCTGCAGTTTCTTTTGTGCTCGTTCATCCTCATTCTCATGGATCTTTTTGTCGTTCCTATGTATACCTTACCACATGTGCATGATATACGATAGACTCCAGCGCTTGACAGTGGGTTCCTCTTATCCTTATTGTTTTTATGTTGTGTTTCTTCAAGACTTTCCCTATCCTGTCTGTCACCCGAGAAATGAGAGGCAGATTTGCATTAGCCACCACTGGTTGTTCATCCACGTTTTGTCGTGTGGCAGTTTTGGGTCGCATGGCCCTGTCGATTTCATATGCATTGTAAAGAACCTTCCCCCTCAATAAATTTGTTGACGTGTTCCGGCGATTTCCACAAACATGCCTCTTAACGCAGATAACGTGGGTGGCCAGTTTTGAAATGAAAGCCCTGTATATGTCTTGCTAAACTTTATTTGAACAACTGCATTCATGCATGGGAATAAAAAGTAGTAACCAAAAATTATGTATCAAATCTCCATATTCAACATGCACAGTAAGCAAATTATTTTTAGAGAGCAAAATAGCCTTCCTTATGAATTCCAGGTTAGATACTGATTTTTTTTTCTGGCTATAAGTAGACGCTTTGGTGAAAAGTAAACTTTTTTCATCTTGGGAAATTAGGCTGAAAATCTAACTCCTGATTAGAAAGTTTTGCGAATTATCTCAAACGCGGTAAAACCGGCGTCATTTTGCATCTGCAGTCGTAATTGCAGGGCTTCGCAATCTTTTGTAACATTTTCTACCACGACGCTTCAAACACCTTGAAACTGATCGTCTTGAAATTCCAATTTTCCTTTCAGTATTCCATTGAGACAAATGATAACAGGGTCTTTTTTTGGGACAAAGATAGACATCGATCATCCAATTCTCCGTTTTGTGGCGTTACTGCATTTCGAAGTCTGCCACGTTCCTTTTTAAAATAGAGTCTATATAATTATGTCTCTGGGTAGCCTTTTTGAGCTGGACACTGACCAGTGTCTGACAAGAAATTGTTATTTATTTATGACAAATATTGTCAGTCGAATAGACACTCGTAACTTTATTGGTAGGAAACTAAAATGATATTTTTTGACGCAGATACGTGAATTCAACCGAGAATGGACAATATATTGCAAAATTTTAGTCAGACTATTAGATAAATTGATAAATGAAAATAACAAATTTGAATCATTTCTTAAGTTTTCAGGATGTAACTCGCACCGCTTACCAAATATATTCTTAGTTTTCGCAAATGAAATTTAAAAAGTATTTTTCAATTTTCGTGCATTTTCTTAGATTAGGTTTGATGTCTTGATTATTTCACCGGTTTAAGTATCAATGCTGTCTTGCATAGAAAAATTCAATTTCATGATCAAATATAAGTTCAAAGTATAAAGGTTTATCTTTTAAAATAAAATTATAAACTTTAAGGTTATGTTAAAATCTTAACACAGCCTATATTTCATTCAGCGATTTTATGTTATAGCCTCTGAAAACTCATTTAAAATGATTTAGCAAATTAGAGAAAATTTCAACGAGCCAATTATTATAGAACAAAAACCAGACATTTCAATAAACTTAATTAATGAAAAGCCTACCTGTTTGGAAACCTGTTCGGCGCCGTTTGCCAGATAATGTTTTTGCATTATATTTGGTGCGATGAGTTGCCTGAAACAAAATACATTTTATTAATTAACGGAATATTAATTAAAGCTATGGATGTTGGTTAAATCTAAAACGGAGTTTTTGTTTTTGTCTCTTTTCTCATGTAATTAAGTTGCCGGTATTGGTTCACACACAAAAAAGATTGTCTCGCATAAGGTTACCTACTAACTCTATTTAGAACAAATCGATGTTTAGTTGTTTGTTGAAACGGTTTCCTTATAAGGAAGGTAATTATTAGGGAATAACTATACAAATCATATTTTCAGTAACAAAATAGGCATAAGCTATTTAAAAAAATGAATAATTTAGCCAGGTTGAAAAGGGATTTAAAGCAACAGAATTATATTTCCCGCAGTTTCAACTACCTACTAGCTTTCATGAATAATATGATAATCATACGTCTGTATAATATGTAATATCACCGTTGGTCAGTTATTACTGACAGTCAGTTATACATACAGCAATTAGTATGTGCAGTGGCGATTTGGAGCCCAGGCAAAGGCCTGGTTACACGGTGCATTAAGCAAACATCGTAGTTAACATTATTTGATGTTATTCCTAGTTATATATGGTTGCTGTTGTTGTTTACGTTGGGCTGTGGCTATCTGATATTTAACTGTTAGATGCGTTTTGAGAAACAAATTATATTCAAAAAGTCTAATTTATCAATCCTCGTCATACGAGCCGAATAATACAAAACAAACAACTTCCATTTTAGGTTACGTTTACAGAAGCCATTTTAGTTATCCGCAATTAACCGTTATCCATAAAATTACGTTTTATTAAACTGGATTCAAGATTTTTTGATGCCGCTTGTGGCATGGTTAACAGTTGCATGAATTAGGTAGAAAAATTCTATTTGCGTATTAATTTTTCGATTTATTGTGTTCTTGTTTCTCCTCAAGCTTATTTTTACATTAATTAATACTAACTTTTATATTAAAAAAATATATATTGCAATGAAGACAAGCATCCCGCGATAAAAAAAAATCGCAACTTATTCAAAAATGATTAGTAAACCAAAAAAGCCTTTCCACATCTGCATTGTCTCCAGCTGAGCACAAACACTCTTGAAATGGGTATGAGAACCTTTATACTTGAGATTGTCATCTCAAGACTAGGGTGGGTTTTACCTTCCTGGCAATCCTGGCTATTACCTACCAGCGGACACCATTTGGCTGAGAACCAAAGTGGAAAGTGGAAGGCTTCTTGCACATAGGGTTTTAATTTTAAATTATTTTGTTTTTATTTTACTTAATACTATCAGGAATCATGGCATCTATACACACTAGAAGTAAACCATATTTTTATATTTACATATACCAACAGTAAATCCTATTCTAAATTATAATAATTTACAGACACCGATGACATTTCAAAAACAACAGCTAGGTATACACTGTTGCACACGCAGCCAATTTCTTCACTACTAGAGTCGAAGGAGGAATACTATTGATTAGCACTTTTTATTGGGGCAATCCTTGTTTGAGGTTCGAGGAGAGCAGTCTTTGTTGGTCTCTTATTCTCACGAAACACTGCCTTTGTAATACGATCCCCATAGTAATGCAAATTTCAACAAATCTTTCTGCGATTAGGAAGATTAACAGTAATTTTAAAGATCTTTTTGTTTGTTGGCTATCTTGGCGTTTTTCTATGGAACTACACAACTAGACAAAACCCACCCCCTAAGCCGGGTCCAGACCAATAAATTTGTGTGTTGAATGTTGTATGTTGAATTCGACAAAAATATTTGCGGCGCAAATATCTTTTGTTGTGACTTTTTCACGCAAATATGTGCGCGGCGTTGGTATATTTTTCTGCGATCCATTTCCGTGCGTCGTGCGTGGTTTCACCACTACCACCACTCTGGCTTCTATACTGGAAAAGTTTTGTTGTCCAGTAACGTCTATGTTTACCATTTTCCCTCTTATTATTCTTATGTCGTAGGTAATTCAGTATTATATAAACTGCACAGTTTTTTTTAATACTAAGTTGGGAAGACATTATAGCACAGAAACACTAACTAGAGACAAAAATATTCCATAAAAATGGGTACTTTTCAAAAATAATTTAAGTAAAACCGACAGACCGCGGATAGCGTGTGTTGTATCTGGCGCACACATTTGCGTGGTTCTTTGTGCGGCGCACAGTCCACACCTATAAATATTTTGCTGAACACGAGCAAATTTGCGTCAAATACAACGCACAACGTAAATATTTATTGGTCTGGACCCGGCTCTAGACAGGTACCCAGAGGGCGCTTAAGCGCCCTCTAGTGTTACACTAGAGAGGTAATAGAAGGCTTCTGCATGAAGAGCTCCGAAGAGTTTCTGATTTTGTCCATCAATACCATCGATCGGGTACAGTTATAATTATCAAATCCAACATGACACAATCAACAGTCTTCGACATTGTGGAATACCCTGGCATAGGAGTAAACCTCAGCGACGAAGGCAATACTCATCAGTGTCTACAAACGGCTTTAAAAGTCTCTTACATCAAAAGACCTACACGTGTTGTTTGCCACTAACGCCTCGACTTTGTTTGCGAGAGATTTAGATTCCTTAGGGCTGCAGAAAAAACAACGCGGCAATTATCTTTCTTCTTCATTTTCCAGACATTTTAGATATAGCTTTTCCCAAAAGACGTTCCCTATCACATTGCTATAGGCAACATTAACGATTTCAGCTCAGATCATCACCTTCTAGGCTCTTCGTGCGTCAACCCCATCGTAGCAGGAGTATACAGGCACTGCCCTTACCTCCTCAACCTACATCTTCACAGCAACAATCCCTACATACACAGGCGGTTGCAAAACCAATTCGACTAAATTACTGCCTGTCAAATATTTGGATATTCAAAGTTAACAAGGAACATACCCAAGCTAATTACCAGGACACGCAATATATTCAGAGACTCGTCATCAAAGACTCTAAATTCGAATAGAGCGATCTAGTAAAGAATCTAGGTCTGATTATTGACAAGAAACTATCATGAGAGCCTCACATTAATTATACATTGAATAAATCCAACAGCTTTCATAGCATGCTTTTTCCCATGCTGAACAGCAAAACTAAACCCTATCTGAGGAAAAAAGCTGTTGATTTATGGGCAAATTAATAAACCATGTTTGCTTTATAGCTCAATAGCTTCTGGCAAAGCCAATAAGACTAATGCGAGAAAATCGCATCCGTTCCAAAGCAAGACTCTCCGCAGTCTAAAAATATTTTGAACATATAAAAGCAAAGTGTTTATTTTACAGTTTCAGTACGGTAATATTATTTGAGCGTTGTCTATGTAGAAAACTGTTATAGATTTGAATTTCTATTGCCGATTCTTTCTCCGCCTGATTTTTCAACACTATAGAAAAGAAAAAACAAGATACGGTATTTTGGGTGCAATTGTTTTTGAATTAATTTTGGTTTGCAGTTTGGGTTGTGTAACCCCTTTTGTTAACGAATTAACTGAAGCTGGGGGCCCATAATATACTCAGTTTGCTCAGCGAATAATTATTGGGGGTGGGTCAATAGTCAATAGTATGTACAGAATCTCAGCAAGGGCGCCACTAAATTTGTAAAAATAAGTAATTTCCAAATTAAAGTAGTGTATATTTCCACAGTGGTATCAAATTCACAGTGAGGAGAATAAAAATCAGTCAAGCAGTAAACTTTAAAAATATAAAATTGCTTGTTGATGGTGAAACACTCTAAATAAAATCAATAGATAGTGGTTTTACCCTAATTTGTATCTACCAAACTCAAAAAAATAATACCTATCACAATATACACTAGTATAGTTTCCACATAAGTTGCTGGACATATCATCAACTTGAGCAATAAATAAGAACATGAAAGCTTTAAGTTTCTGGAAAATGGTAATGTTTTATGGATAGTTATGACCAGCCTCATAAAATAAATTCAACAAAATGAAATTTAAACCGTATGAAATCAAAGGTAAGGTTAAATGGTGGAAGTAGGAAGTATACAGGACAGAAAGCAGAAATCCTCAAGTATATAAGTAGTAAAACCCAGCTGAAAAATTGATCAATTTTTCATGATGTAACATATTGTCCAACTCTGACTGCAGTTCAGCTTAATAAAATAAACATTTATAAAACATGGCAGTACTGAAAGTTAATTGAATTTATAAAATAATTAATCCAATAAATCGGACATTCGGAAATTATCTAACAGTTACTCCGGGGTCAGAAATCCGAAATTAAAATTTTAAACGTGTGGTCAGTAAGAATTAAATCAGTTACAGTTACTGCTCATAAAGCAGATTTCATAAAAGAAATTAGGTAAAAGTTATTAATGAAATTGATTCCTCTAGGAAACCACTTCAAAATCTCTTTGCCCAAGCTCCCACCAAACGATCTGCCTGGAAAAATGGGGCTTTACGAAAATGGGAGTGCGTTGGAAATGGGGGCTCATTGAAGATGGGGCACCTTGAAAGACCCTAAGTGATAGAGGCATTTCCATGAAAAACCATTACATTTAAAAAATACCACGAGGGGGTTCGAAATTCAAACTCGAATAAGACAGAAATCACAATAATACTCGATATAATTTTTTTTTGGAAATCAACGGAACTTTGCCTGAAGCAACTTTATTTTGGTGAACTAGTGCCTGATGGACGATAAGGTACTTTTTTCCACGAGAATGGTAATCGATATTAAACTTGGGAAGATGGCGGTCCGCAGGCCATGCTCAACCTTTCGGGTCAAACGACAAAATTTTTAAGGGTACGCAGTGATCTCAAAGCTCCCTTCTCGTTTAGAATCAACGAGCATAAGAGGTACTACTTAGCCTTTTGAAAATGACTGAAAAGCTGGAGAAACTTACGCTTCCTCTCGAGCAGCGGCAGAACTTACACGATACAAAACAGTAACGAACCTGTGCAACCAGCGACTGGCCTTCAGTCGCCAGACTGTCAGCATTCAAATATGTATGAAATAAAGTATTATTAAAAAAGAAGGAACAGTAGCATTTAGCACGTGGAAAAGT